AGAGAGAGAGAGAGAGAGAGAGGGAGAGAGAAGGGGACCACCAACAGCAAAAAGAGGAATTAAATGTGTGATGCATGGGCACCAACTCCCCATGAGGAAGGTAGGACCTTACACACTAGGAACATGTACGAGGGAAGGGAGAGGGCTGGAGGGGGGAATGAGATAAAATAAGATTTATTTTAAAAAGAAATATAAATGCGTACTAATTTAAAAAACATATGAATACAAAAAAGTGTGTTCTTTCCCATTCCTAGGAGCTTACCATAAATAAATAAATAAATAAAAATGAGAAGAAAGGAGACCTTAGCGTACTTATGCCCACATTCACACTGTAAAGGAATAGGGATGATTCCAGGTCCGGTGATCAAATGGGGTTGCACATCACACATGTGTGCGAGGAAAAGCCCCAAGGACACAGGCCTCAGAGCAGCCGACGCGCCCTGGGAAAAGCCTGTCTCTCCCACACTGTGCAGTGTGCAAATCCCTCCTCGGAGACAGGACAAAAAGACACAGAGGCACGGACTAGGATCCAGACAGGTGGGACCTGGGGTCGGGGGGTTGCAGGGCTATTTCTCTTCCCTTTACTTTTATGCTAATTTGAAGGCATATTGTAAGACCCTGTGTCTCTTCCCTCCCTGAACCCTCTCCTCCGACCCGGTCCTCTGTCCGATGCTCCTCTGGGTCAGCTGTCCGGGTGGCTTACAGACCCACTGGGGTCATTCTTGCCCTTTGGGGACTTCAGCCGGCCTTTCTCTTTCCCCTGCTCCCAGCCTGCTTCCGGGCCAGCAGCCTCCAGCTCCGCGGGACACGGCGTAGTGGGTGACTGCCCGGCGGGGAGGCACCACAGTGTTTGCCCCTCACCCCTGACAGGAGCGGCTCCCTTCCTCTGGTTGCTGGAAGCGGCTGCCTGGTGCCGTTGGGTTTTGACCCAGACCCTAATACTTCGGGAAGGGTCGGTGGCCCTGCTTCTCAGGACGCCTAGTGGGCTCGGTGCTCTGCTGGCCGGGACCTGTCCTCCTCCAGGACAGACCAGGGCCACCGTGGAGCCTGATCTCTGAAAACTCCCAGCCATGGAGTATAGCACCTGTCTCTGGAGAGTTAGCGAGCAGCTGAACAAAAGCTCCCTTTGTCTCCGGATTCTGCAAACCAGACAGGCAGGTGCCTGGGCCTCAGGTGAGGGTGGACACAGGGGAGCCCTCCACCCTGTCCCCTCAGCTGCACCTGTCATCCCCGCGGAGGGGCCCCCAGGTGCCACCTACCTGGTGCGACAGGGCTGATTTTCAAATCATCCAGGCCGAACAGTGACCGGAAGGAGAAGGGTGCCTCGGCTGCCGGCGGATCATTCTCCCCCATGGTGACGATCTCAGGGCCTCTGACTCCCGGCTCTACCTCCACCTCCGCGCCCTGCAGCGGGAAGAAACAGAGGCGTCCATCCCCAGGGACCATGCCGGCATCGCCTGCGTCTTCTTTGCATTTTAAATCTTTGAGGTCCACATGAATGGACTCAGTCCCGGTTAATCAAAGCTCTTCTCCCCTCCTGAACCAAAAGCTTCTAGAATTAGCCAAGGAGCACAAAGTTAATCTCCCCGCAAGGACGACTGCTCCATCGGTGACTTAACCAATCTTAAAATCAGACAGCACATTTAAAAATAATTTCTATTACCCTTCTGCAGTGAGTGTGGCATCATTATTCAAAGACAAGAGACTGCAAAGCCATGGCCCACACAAGCACCGCTCCTCATGTGGCGGAGAGACGCCTCTACCTCAAACACCGGGAGGCGTCCATACTCACATAACTCGGGTCCCCAAATGTAGGTGGCCCCAGGAAAGGGATGCCGGCCACAGAGCCAGCAGCTGCCCGTGAACCGGCGGCCTTGAGGGCGCACAGGGCCTGACCTAATTAAATCGAAAGCATCCAGCCCTCTGGGCCGGGCCTCCCCACATAGCTGAGCAAGGAGCGGCTGGAAACCGTAGCTTCTGTGGAGGCCACAGTAGGGCTCAGTTTCCTATGAGAAACTGGGGTCATTTTCCACCTGTGCAAAGGTGGAGGAGCCCGGGCCCTCCATTCCCGGGACTCTGCCTGGGAGAGAGGAGAGCTCAGCGGTCCCCACACACTCAGGTCCCTCTTGGGGTGGCACCTGGCTTCTCGGGCACCTGCATCTCCGGGGGCTAAGACCTGCTGTGTCCCTGCAGGCTCGAGGACCCCAGTACTCAGGCCTGTTTCTAGTTCCCTCCCATCTCCCCATTGAAGTGTTTGAAACTCCTAAGGGAACCACGAGCCATTTACCACGAACTTGGCTTTCCAAGGTCTTAGTCAAATCTAACTGGGAGTTGTGTTTACTTGCAAATTGCTCCTTGCCCTCCATCCAAGCGCTGCTTGAAAGCTGTCTCAGAAAACTGCCCTCTCCCGTCTAGCCGTTTCCAGCCCCGGCCCATCAGATACTCCTGCTCCCTATGGGAATTCACAGGAAAACACTTCCCAGAGGAAGCACCCGTCACTCACCACGTCTGGAGCCGCCATGGTCCAACGCAGGAAGAATTTCCTCTTTCATGATAAAAAAAACAGCGTGGTGGGGAGCAGCTGCCAAGGGAGAGGCTGGCGGCGGGGTTCTCGCTGAGTCCCTGGCCCTGTTGGCGGGATCATCGTGGCCAATGGCTGTGGCGGTGCCTGTGTAACCCAAGCCCAGGGTGGCTATCAGGTGGCCTCGGGGGTTTGACTGCAGGGACAGAAGGGGGCCGTGCCGTGGGTGAGCGAGCTTGTGGGCGCTCTGCAGAGGAGTGTGGCACACAGGTGCCCTCCAAGTGGGGGCCACCAGTGGGTTCTGTCCCCAGGTGACAGCACGGGACTCACTGCCGGAGGGAGGAAGAGCAGGCCACCATGTTGGCCGCTGGACACTGTGCGGGGCTGTGCTACGCTCTGGACCCTGGGCAGTGGCTGCAGGACAAGGGACAGGAGCAGGTTGGACTGCTCCATGGGGAGCCCTGGCCCCTCATCTACCGAGAGCCAGGCACAAAGAGCACAGCAGGCAGCAGGGCCTGACCCCGACGAAGGACCCACAGTGGCCTTGGATGAGGACAAGGCCAGGGAGGGATCGGGGTGACAGTGGGAGCTGGGGTTTGCCTCTAGGAAGGAGAGACATGGCGACAGGAGGACCAGCGTCCTGAGCAACAGAGTTGGGGACCCTCAGTTCAAAGGCCAAGGGAAGGGACACCCCGAGCACGTCAGAGCCCTCAGAGCCTGTGCAGGGTGCAGTGGAAAAGGGGACCCTGGGAGGGAGGCCAGTGTCGGGAGAGACTCCAGTCTGCTTTCCATGAGACGGTGCCACAGGCAACCTGAGCCAGCGAAGCCGGTGGACAGAGTGACGGGGACACAGGCAGCCAGGCTGGCTGCTCGGGTGGTGAGGACCCACTGGCAGGCTGCATCTGGAGGCGGAGTTGGCTGGACCGTGGCAGCAGGCCAAGGGACAGGTTTGGGCTTCCACAGGTGACGCCGTCCAGTTCCTCGCCTACCAGGCCCCAGTCTTGGCTGCCTCCAAGCCCTCGGAGCTCAGACGTCCCCAGCCCGGGACAGACCTCTGCCCAGAGGCAGGCACAGGAGAGCCCCACTCGGCAATGCCTTTGCTCTGACTGTGCTGCAGAGGCGAGCGTCAGGGGGCTGCATGGGACTCTCTCTCGCTTCTAAGCCAGGGTCCGGCACCACCGTGACCGTGCAGCCGAGCGGACGAGCAGCACCGAAGGGACACACGGACTCCTTCCCTGTATGGTACCGCTTGGAAAGTCCCCTACCAACCAGCTCCATCTGGGTCAGAGCGGAACCTTCCAGAGCCAGAGACTCAACCCCACCTGGTGCCAGCCCATGGTCCTCAGAAGAGCAGGCCTCCAGCCTGAGGTCCCAGGTGGGGGAACCACAGCCACCAGCCGAGGGAGGCCCCGGAGGGGCTGCGGGCAGGAAGCAAGGAGCAAGCAGGTGGGCATTTCCTGGCCGACAAGGTGGTTGTTTCTGTAGGAGGGATGAGTGGAAACGCGTTGCGTGCTACCACGTTGTAGCCTAGGCACAAATGCTCTGAAAGGTGCTGGTTCTTTAGAAGAGAAACACAGGTTAAGCGGAGGCTGTGATCAGGCCCCCGTCCATTTCTTTCCCCTCCAGGAAGAGAGCTCTGTGGATTCCTAGGCTTTCAAATTCAAAGAGAATCGTTTCTGAGATGACTGCATCTCTCAAATCCCTCAAAGAAAAAGGGACAACTCCACTGGAGTGGTCGCGGCAGTGTACAATTTAAAAAGGAAAAGGATATCATAAAAAGTGCAATAAACTCACATTTAAAGGGGAACTACTGAAACCTTTTCCTCGAAGATGGAGAATAACACAAGAAAATGCACTAAAATAACATCTCTCTAGCATCTTGTTTGAGATCTAAACTAGTTCGATAAAGCTGAAAAGAAAAACAGGGGAAAAACATTGAAAAGAAAAGGAAACAGAAGAGGGGGAGAAAAAGAGGAGGAAAGAAAGAAGTGAGCGAACGGGGAAGTAGACCAGAGATATGTTGGGGCTGGGGTTTTAGGTCAGCGGTTCTGCAGCCTGCCTTGCAAGCCTGAGGTCACAAGTTCGAGACGTAAAAAGAAAAACTTTAAGAATAGGTAAGAAAAAAATAAAACCGTCATTACAGATGGTGAATCATTTTAATGTAAAATATCTTTGAAAGTCCAATGGTAAGTTATTTTATCGACTAGATAGACACATAATAAATATATGGTGACATTTTATGACCAAGGGGGTCGGTCTCATGGAAACAGTTTGATTTAAACACCGAGAAAAAAATCAATTATTTTCTTTTCTGGAATTATATGCAAGAGTATATAAAGTTCAGAAAGACTTAGAAAGGAAGAGGAAAACTGTCACTATTTAGAGATTGTATACATAGGAAACCCATAAGAATCGCTAAAATTTTTAAATTAATAAATGAGTTTAGAATTAATAAGTGAGGTGATTGTGGGAGCAATATAAAATTGTTATTTCTATTGCTGACAACAAACAATTAAAACGGAAATTGCTTTAATGATACCATTTATGGTAGCATCAAAAATATAAGCAAACGTACTAAAAAATACAAAACAAGCTACTAAGAGAAATACACCATATTAATGGAATGGAAGACCTAATATTGTTAAAAGGTTGATTCTCCCCAAAGTGCTCCACAGATTCAATATAATTCCAAATAAAATTCCCGCACCCTTTTCAGTTTGGCAGAAATTAATAAATATTTTTTGTTGTTGTTCTCTCATTC